CTTCTTTTTAAGAAACAAATACTCTGCATTGCACGTGTATAGGAAGAATTTACTCGAGGTAAAATCTCACGTATTTTATATTGTCAAACCTGAAATACTGCTGGACCAATTCTAAAAGCTTCTTAATAGGAATCAGTCTCTACTCCTGCAAACATATATGATAGTTATACAGTTTGGGAAGCCATATCTTAATTTTAGTATTTTTCTTTTATAGAATCATAGAATGGTTTGTGTTGGAAGGGACCTTAAAGATTACCTCGTTCTAAGCACCCCGCCATGGGCAGGGACACCTTCCACTAGACCAGGTTGCTTAAAGCCCCATCCAGTCTGGTCTTGAGCACTGCCAGGAACAAGTCATCTTCCAGGGATGGGGGATGATAAGGGCTTATTTGCTTAACCATATTTTGGAGGCTCCATTAGGACATTTCCACTTTTTGAGTAATGGGCAGTTCCTGGAAACTTATAAAAAATGGGTGAAGACTGCGATCCTTTAAGCACAATATCCTCTCACGTAACTGGGACACAGAAATCCATACGGTTACCACAGCCCTTGGGCTCAGCTGAGGCTCCATGGTGCCAATTACAAATTATTTTCTTTAGAAAACCATGATTTGTCAAAATTAAAGTGAAATTGATCCTGCAAATATTTTTTGGCACTAGGATGGAGGTAGAAGGTGAAGAAAAAACAGAGAGATTTTACAACACCCAATAGTCAGAGGGTAAACTTGGAATCCAGGGGACTCAGCTGCGACTTGCTCTCACACCTGAGATTTAAACCTGGCTCTCCCAAGTCAGGCTCATGTGCAGGTCAGCAGGCTGTGCTAGTATTAGTGTATATCCTGTAAGAACTCTTTCACTTTGTATTAATAATTCAATATCTGCAGGGAAGGGGAGAAGAGAGAGAGACTAATCCTACAGACTAGTGGCCAAACATCCACCTGGGATACTGGGATCCTTCCCTGTCAAAACCACCCAACAAACAGGAGGGTAGGAAGGAGGAAACAGTGATGTCTCCTACAGCTTCGCAATTTTCAGCTGATCAAATTAGATCAAAACAGGAAGGTCACTGCCCGAGCACTGGCTGGGAAGAAAACACTGACTGTGACAACTCAAAGCTAAATGGGCGTTTGAAAGTAATCTCATTAAGTCTCTCCTTCGAAAGATTTTTTTTTAACTGAGACATAAGTCTGTTCTCAAAACTTCTCAGGATCAGGCAATTATGTTAATACACTTTTTTAACTATTATTTTTATGTATATTAGACAAACCACAGGAAACTACCTGCCATTTAGTAATTTAAAAGGAATTGAAAAGAAATTCCCTTTCCAATGTCTCTCTCTTCTGGAAAAATGAATGACAATCCTCCTGCATATAGCTGCTTCCGCACAAGGCACACAAGAAGAGGAGAGGCCAAGTGGAAGTTTCTTCAGTACACGGCCATGTAGGGGCACATTTCTGAACAGTGGAGGACAGGGAAGACTGTAAGTCAAAATGTCAGGCTGCTGCTAGGCCAGGGCGTTAACACACTTTCATCATTTGCTCTTCAACGGAAACTTCATCAAACTCGGAGGAGCGAGTTTGCACTCACCTGGAGAAGGCAACCCGCGCTGTATTAAGAAACGTGTGGACACAGCAAATTTCTAAAACATTGAAGAACAGCTGACTTAAGAGAACAACTGCCTTGGAAGGTGATCTGGTCCCTGCCACCAGGCTGCAGGGCTTCCCCGGCCATGCTGCCAGCCCACCGCCCCCCCAGCAGCCACGGGGCACCGCTGGGCAGGTGGGAGCCAGGTCTGAGCTTTCAGCAAAGCCCTTCAATAAGCAGAGGCTGGTCTGCAGCCTTATTGCAGTGTGCAACGTGCTGACTTTCGCATTTTGAGCTGCCGTAGCTTCCCTCCAGCTTTCTGCTGGCCTCCTCCCCTCACACGCTGCGACCCTCCACTGAGGTGCGGCGCTCCTTCAGCTCTCGGGGGAGTGAATGGAAACGCACCGTGCAGAGGACAGGGCACGCTTCTCTACGTGACACCGAGGGAGGAACGTGTCCCTGCTGCTGACGGGAGACCCTAAGCACAGCAGCTTCTGCTTTTCACTCTCTGAAGCAAAAGCACCCTTTCAGACAGAGCAACCCCTACACTAGCAGGCAGTGCTGCTGGAGGTAGGGAGTTTCCTGTGATTTATGTGTAAAGAGAAGGGGAAACAAAATAAGCAAGCGCAGATTGATCTAAAATCCAGTTTAATCCAGCACTCCAGAAATACTCCATTGCGAGCAATTCCTCGTGATGGGGATGGTCCCTCATCCTGGGTGATGCTGACGGTCACCAGCTTTGAGCCCAGGTACGTTTCAGACCTCACCAGCGCACCTGACTGAGGGGACTCAGTGCCTAGACCGCCACAGGGCCGGGGGCCAGCTCCCACCCCACCCACGGCCACGCAGCACTGTAAGCACTGCACCCCACGGGACAGACTCCTGCCACACTTACTGCACCTTTGTGCCAAGTGAGCATCATTTCTAGTCCAGAAAAGAACTAAAATCTGTGCAACTGGAAAAAATCCAGAAGGCGAGATACAGCTTGGCTATGTGCTGTATCTGCTCTAGGTTTGTGCACTAGAGAACACGATAAACCAGCTGTGCTTTGGTAAAACACACGGAAAATGGACCAGATGGATTGCTTCTATAATAGCACTGAATTTCACTTTAAAAATTAATTCTCACTTGAGAGGAATTATTTGAAAAAACCATCAAAAACTTACTGGCTCAATCAGATAATAAAATAGAACAAGAAATTTATGCACATCAGAATAGAAAAACAGTACTTTACACTATGAAGCGACTTTCATGCCAGGACCACAGAGCACTTCCCAACAAGCCTGTAGGCATGTAAGTGGTGTTACTGCCATTTCACAGACAGGAGAAATAAAGCTCAGAAAGGTCAAGTGTCTGGCTGCAGGCCACACGGCTCAGCCCTGGCACAGCCAGGAACAGACCTCAGGAGTAAGGCCACCCTGCCCCTTGCTCTGACAAGATGACACGCTCTCCCATTTTTTGTCTTCTTGGAAGCATGCTAGCTCTCTTAATTTAAAATTGCTTTCCTGCTTTTGTAAATTTGTATACTGCTACATACCCTGATCGCTGAGCAGAAAGTATCGCAACGTGTTGCAGAGCCTATTGACTTTATTGGCTCTGTGGCTTTCTTTTGCACAATGAGTTGTGGGATTGGGACCTAGTGATGCCAATTATCAGCAAGAAATCTTTATATATTTGCCTGTAACAATATGCTCTTTCGAAACATAGTAAATCAACAGCACTTCCAGTGTTTTTCACATTTTTTAAAGAACTGCATTTGCATCATAGGTAATGGTGCATCCTAAAATGACATTTTCTCTATCTTCTGATACATGTAGAACTTCAGGAAAAAAATATTTATATTTACACACGTACATAAAAATAAAATAAAGAAAGAACTTTTCCTCAGGTCCCACTTATAACAGAATTATAAACCACAGAAATGCTGGTACGTCCTCCCTTATAGCTGAGCATCCAGGTGCCACTGTAATTTACGCTACATACATGTTTCAAATTTGTGACATAAGAGACACACTTTTCATAATGCAGTCATTTTATAGATTTTATTAGACAGACTTATGGTAGGAAGGAATATTCAGAAATTGCAGCTTAAATGAGAAAATGTGAATGGTGTTACTTATATAAAATACTACTGCAATAGTTCTTTTATTAATTTTTAATGCACAGCACCCACTGTGACCTCCTTTATTCTTTTCCTGTCAACATGGCAGGCTAGAGAAATTGAAATGGGCTGTAGCTGTTCTCTTCTTGTTTCCCTCTTCCTCCCATTTTGCATAATACTAAAATATAACATCTTATTGGACTGTCACTGTGAAATAATCATTATGCAATAGGCATAACAGTTTTTTTCTGATTGTTATCTCTTCCTTACTTTTCAGTGTTCTCTACAAAATTCCAAATTCCATGTAGTTATCTAAGGCAATAAGGTAATTTTCCACTGAACACACTTGTCTGAATTAAAGTTTGTTTAAAAGTTATCTTTTGCTCCATTTCTTACGGTTCTCTAAGGATAACACCAGTCACATAAAATAAAGCATTTTCTGCCTGTCTGGTCTCCTCTGATTACATTTTTGGGATAAAGTAGGAGGTGGGTCCAATAAAATAGTGTTTGACTCAATCAGGAGGATGCTATTACTTCTGTTATGTATATTTACTGTTACCTCAATCTCCAAGGAGACTAATCTCCATACCAGTAAAGTCAAGACGCTCACGGTATTGTCTTTGCAGGGCCAAGTTCATGTTGTCACAGCAACAGAGTGCACAAGGTCAACAGATTAATACGTTAGTGTGCACAGGCACTGAACTGGAGTGTGAAAGTTTTGCTGCTGGTTTTAAAACTACACTGTGAAGCAGGACTTGGAAATATGGCCTACACAAGATATTCTTGTATATCTCAAGGAATAGGCTACAACATTATGCATATATTTGCCTAATACAGTCTATCATTTTTACCACAGTGGGAAGAGGAGGAAATAACCTCCTCAGAGGAGGTCCCTCAGTGGGAAGGCAGGAGGAAGGCTGGAGTTCGGGCTATGAAACATACACTGCATTTGGATTGTTGATATTTCCCCCTGCGATGCCCTTTCATTAGCCTCTGTCTAACGTGGGGCTTGACAATTGTGACAGAATGAAAAATTTGAGGAAAAGCGAGGGTCACGAGAGAAGAGATTTCCTTCCCTCTCCAGTGACCCTATCACAGTATTCTGATGCAGCGCTTTACCATTAAGGAAAGGGCAACCCAAGAGCCTTCACACTTAATCTGTTCCATCTGTCATGACTATTAGAAACATTGACCAGCAGTGAGCTTTAAGGACTCGGTGCGACTGCAGACATGATATTCTAGCCCACTACAAGGACCTCCTGATGTTTTGAAAGCCTCCAAGGAAGTACCATGCATAAAAAAGGGCAACACCTACCTGACATGCCACCATATGTGGTCCTCAGCCCTCCACCGACTGCTGGCCAAGGTGTGCTGTCTGCTTTCAGTCCCATCAGTCCTGACACAGTGTTGGTGGCTGTAACACCATCTGCGCCACCTGTGAAAGAAAAGGTCAGTCACTTTTTGTTAAATCATGTGTGTAAGAACAAGAGAGGAAAAAATACAACAGAAAAACTATGAAACTGTGAAACAATAGAAATTCAAATAAACAGCTGAAGACAGAAAGCAACAAACTCTAGGAGAATGCGCAGAAGGGTCCTTAAGACCAACCCCAGGCTGATAAATTTAACACTAGCTTCAAGGCAGGCTGCATCAGCTGAAAGAGCTGTAAGGGCTATAAGACAGCATGTGGGAAACTCTGGGGCTGACAGGCAGATCTCTGCCCTTCAACTGTGGGGCAGAACCTGCTACAGTGGTTGTTCAACACCTGGATGTGCCCCAGCACACGGATGACCTCCTCCAAGCTTGTGAGGAGCAAGACAAAATGAACAATGAGACAGAGAAATGATGACCACGGTTCTAAGTGATGGATTAATACACCTACTTTCAAACTTAAAATTCCTGACATGTACTTTAAGCTTTCAGGAAAAAAACCCCATATCTATATCTATATCTATCTATATCTATATCTATAGATATATGTACACACACACACACACACCTTCAAATGGTGTATTTCTGTTTTCTCAGGACACACACACCATTTTCACTACTAAACATAGGAATAGGGGAATTTACAGTGGTATGCTAAACACATAAATATGACAGAAATAGGAGCGTGCAGACACACACACATATATAACTGTTAACAGTTTAATATAGTTCTCTTCATATATTGCTGTATTCTAGAAGCATGGACAAAATTAGGAAGCCTTTGATCACTGTGCTTATTCTAAACATATCAAATAAACTATTTTCATATTCGTTTCTGTTGTTACTTATTATTATTCCAGCAACTCCCCTATCTTATCCCATCCAGCAAATTAGTAAATCTGCACAGCTTGTGCACTAGAGTTGGTTACCTTCCTGTGCAGCCATCGCAATATTCACAATATCAGTGACATTTGGGGTCAGCTTGGCAAAGAAAGGAATCCGAACAGCTTGTCTAACCCAGCGACAGATGTTCCGTACCAGCTCTGGATCCTGTTCAAATAGGTCAGATAAATATAGAACATAATTAAAAGTAATATGAACAAAAGGTGTATCAAGGAAATAGAAAAGTTTGCTATAAGTGGCTATACTGTGTTTTGTGAAATTACACATCAGGACTGAACCTCATCTCATTACTTACCTTATTTCAGACACATCGAGTAACTGCATATCCATTACAGAAAGGTTAGTTCATGAAAAAAAGGAAAACTTGCTTTTTTTTTTTTTTCCAAAAGACAAAGATACCACAAAATATTCCCTTTCCAGAGAGGGAAAAATATCATTTTGGATGACAGAGACTTTTTTTACCCATTTAATTAAAAAATTACTTTTCAGTTTTAACGACTCACTCTGCGTAAGGTGTATTAAAAATAACCAGTATCCTATTCACAAATAATGTGAAGCTGAAGCACAGGCTGATCATGCCTTGATCAGAACAACAAGGATGAGTCGGGGTTGCAGGGCTATCAGAATGCAATTCAGCATTTCTGAACTCTCCTCTGACTTCAGAGAATAACTTGGGATGGCCGCAGTGTAAATGAAAGATCAAAATCTTCTCTGTTAAAGCCATAAATCGAAATCTTCAAGTGTTGGCTTTTCATGATTTCCAGGCATTTACTTCCCTTACTGTATATGTCTCATGCAGACAGTAATCAACTATCCTTCCCATTGAAAACAGCTCAGGGGAACTAACATTCTGCATCCGGTAAATATAATGGCTGTTGTTCAGTATAACTGTTAGGGTACGGGTTGCTGGCTTTTTCTGTGGGCTATTGATCATGCTCTTCAATAAATACCTTAAAATTTGCAATACTGATGCAGGTAGAACACGGTGCATGATCTGGTCAAAAACTGAACAGTGCTATTACAAGATCTAGTACAAGTATAACCTGTGGGTAGGGTAACTGGTACCACAGCAATTATTTACATTTACTAAATCTTTATCACTCTCTCAGATAATTAGGTCTGTCATATATGAATAATTTTCTCCCATTTTCTGAACACTCAGAAAGCTGCATTGCAATGCCATAACTGAAAATGGGATGAGCCTAAAAGAAGTCCAGTTTAAAACAATCCAGTGGACACCGAGGTTGTCAGTCTAGCGAACACACAGGAAATATCCCGTGTTGTTTTATCTTTTTACACCAATGGTTAAATACAAACAACCTCCCCCCTGCCCAGGCTGTGTTCCTAGAAAGTACACAGTGCTTGACATGAATAGTAAAACCCTGAGACTTAGCTGTGCCATTCCAGTAAAAGTGGCGATCTCCCCGCCCATGCAGCTTCCATGAAATATGTATGAACGCTGCACTGGCAGTATGAAAGTAGCTGCATCTTTGACTTTCATTTCTGTTTTGAATCTCCTTGAGGCCCAACGCAGAAATTGGAGACCTTCTAGAAGACATGAATTGTACACCCTTTATGTTAATTCTTTTCCTTAGAATTCCTTGTAATAACGTTCAGGATGTTGGCACCACATAACTCATTATACTGACTTCATCATGCTTATAGTGCTGCCATAAAAATTCTTACTCCAACACACACTAACACTTTAAACAAATACAATTACTTTAATCCACATTGAACAACTTATTGTGAGATCTCTCTCATTCATATAAACCAAATTTCCATCCTCCCTAAGACAATTTAAGGAGTTAGTCTTAAAAAATAAAAAATTGACCTTTTTTTGTTTCCAAAGGTAAGTAAAGACCTTCATTTTCCACCAGTTCTGCTTCTCCCACACCAAAACTAATGCAATGAATGCAGTGGAAGAGTCTTCAATTTCTCAAGCTAGTTAACAGTTTAAATACCCGATTGCCCAGCACATGTTTAGACAAAGCCCTTTTGAAAAGCTCACTTGTATCGGTCTTGGAAGCCCGCCCATTCTTGTTAACCATAAAACCACAGATAACTTAATAAGAAAACTCAATGAAGGAGGTGAAATCTTAGATTTTCCTTCACTTAATATTCCAAGGAAAAAAAAGGAATGTTTAGTAAGGAAACAGAAAAAATGAAAAAAAAACCATTTTCATTAAAAAAAATTTTCATTAAATTCCATTAAATTTGTCAATTTTGGATTGAAACAGGTATTTCTAAAGAATTTTTTCCACCATAATGCTTTATCTAATCCATTTGCTTATTAAATGTATATTGTATAAGATAATACTGGATACCTTAAAAAAAAATTACTGTTCATCCTTGTGCCACCCCCAAAACACACGCACGTGACAGATCTCGGTGCTTCCCTTTTCATTGCGAGTCCTACAGTGGAGCCGAACTGGAGCATCCAGCTGATCCACCCTCCTCCTCGGCCTCCTCCCTCTGCTCTGCCTCCAGCCCCCTGCTGCTCAGGTTGCTCCTGGTGCAGTGGCCAACACCAGCGAGCCACCCGAGCCTGTCCTGTCCTCTCTCCCCCGGCTGCAGTGACATTGCAAGTGTCCAGTGGCTACACCACTACACGCCTGAGCTTCCCTGCTGCCCGAGGGATTTCTACACCGTGAAGTCACTGCATGAGAATACCAGAGCTTTTATGCTCTGCAGACAACTAACACGTTCTCAAAGAAGAATAATATCCCCGCCTGTTTTTATCTGTAACATCATATTTTCTTCTTTATATCATTAAGAAAAAGCTATTAATTCATTTATAAAGTTCATTATTTCCTACTATATTTGCACTGAGGACTCAGAAAAATGCATCAAAAGTCATCAGACGGTCGAAAACAGAAGATATTCATGTCGCTGGACAGCTAATTGTCATACGAAATGCATGAACTACATTTATATAATGCAGTGGAAGTTCACTGGATGGTGTACACCCTCTCCGGAGAAGTTTGCTTTTGCACTGAGAACAATTTGCAGAGGTCACAGAAGAACACTACTTTTGAGAGAGATTAAGTGATTAGAAACAGAGAATTCACTTCTAAGTGCAATCATTGACCAAAGAAATTATCCCAATTTAAAATGCAGTTCAAAACTTAAGATTTCTGAGAATATTAATTTATCATATTCAGCAAAGTTTTAAACTTGTGTGCAAATCTAACGTGAGCAGCCTGCTACCAAAAACTAGTTTCAAAGAGGCAATGTACAGTCTTCATTTTGCCTAATTCATTTTGCTCCCATCTACTTGGATTTCTGAAAGATTGCCCCCAATTTACAAACTGCATTTACTGATTCTTAGCAGAGATTGGATTTATAAAACATTCAAGGATGAGGATATAACTTGTAAAAGAATGAATCCTGAGGCCCGAAAATCACGTTACAAAAAAATACCTGTCACTGCTAATGCAACATAAATATCTTTTTTTACCCCAAACCGACTTTATGAAAGTGCCTGCAGCTTTTATTACTGATAAAGTGGTTGATGAAGCCTGCATAGTTAAGAAATATTTTCTAAATGGCTTGAGATGTAAAATGTTATTAGCTGTAGAAACAGCTGGGCATTTACATTCCCAAAATCAACAATATGAACCAACTAAAATATTATTCTGCTTAATGTAGTACAGGATTTTAATGCTTTTCGTTCGAAGGCGGTAGACTTCTATTACACATAACTAGGTTTGTTGGTTCTCTCATTAACGATGATAGAGTGTGATTGTTACAGAATGTGTAGCATAATTTTGCTTTGTGTGTCAATCCAGAAGAATGAACAAATGCTTCAGCGGGCTGTAACATCCGTTGGTAGCACACTTCATTTATCTGCTGTATTTTTATATTTTTTTTTAAACAAACACCATCTAAATAAAAGCTTGGTGAAATGATCATCAGCTAAAACATAATATTGATTCATGCACTCTACCTACAGGAATCTGTTGGTAATTTAATAACACATAAAGTCTCTTTTGGTATGAGATGTACATCAGTGTGTCTTCTGTCTTCCTGTTCTTAATCAAATATTGCTTGTTTATTCCAAAGGCACAGGAGATTTGAATGTTACAAGGGTTGTCTTTCTACTTCCCTAAGCAGCAGCACAGAATCATTTTTCCTGAATATTCATTACTGCCTTGGGCTAGATGGAGCTTTTAATCCTAACTACTCATTGCCAATGGGTAGATATACTAGAGGAAAAACAACTATTCACCTTTTTTTCTAAATGATCACATGATAAGCTTAACTACAACCATAACTATAAGTCCTCAGAAATTAAAGCAGCAAGTTGTCTGATGATTGCATTTGGCATTGGTAATGAGATGAATCCCATGTCCTATCACCCTCAAGGCAGATACATCCTTCATGTTTAAGAAGGAGTGTGAAAACGCTGTGCACAGAGTAGGTCACCTCTCCTTGTGCTTCATGAAAGAAACCATGAAGAGATTACCACAGAAATGTCTGGTTCTCAGAAATTTTGGACATTTTCACTATGGCCTATTTTCTGTGTTCTGGCAGAGTCCTCATTTTCACGCTACCCTGTTACTGCACAGTCGTTATACAGGACCCAGAACACCTCCCTGAAGCAGGGAAGTATTATTACATGTGTTTAATAAACAGAGAGAGGAGAGTCAGATAGACTGAGGTGCACCCCCTCAAAATGACCTTGTTTTGGTGTCCAGTTTTCACTAAGTCATTTGCATAAGGATCTGAAAAGGTTTGTCTGGCAGAAAACTGCACTCGATTCTTCAGAATACCTTAAACCATGAGATACTTTCCACATTAACAAAAGAAACATTTTTAAAACTCGAATTTAATCAGTTTTTCAGAGTATTTGAATAATGCAAAAGATAGAAATACAACTACTTCAGGGTAACCAACGTGCTTTCCTTAACTATGCAAACAGTCCTTGGGAAGCACGTATGTGTGAGTGTATGTACATATGTACGTGTGCATATATAAAGAATACAAATGTCAGCCTGAAAGATGTCATAAAAATAAACCTGTTACAGAATTTCCCCCAAGAACTTCAGAAGGAAGGTTACCACTCAGCAGAGTACATTAGCTGATCTTGTCTTATTAGTGCTGCAGAAAATGAACCATACCGTGCAATCTTCCCTCCATCCCTA